TATCACCTCAGATTAGCTCTAGGTTCTACTGCGTTTCGCTTTCGCTCTTCGGTAAGTTATATATTTTGGCTACACGCCTCATTGTATTTCGGTTACCTATTCGGGCGTTTCGTTTTTGCATCGACTCTTGTTTCCTGAAGAAAGGAATGGTCGTAGATGTTCCGGTCATCACTTGTATGCGGTGCGGATTCATCGGACCTTGACGAGGGTTTAATATGGTTCACATCTGCAAGTATGCCCACCGGCCAAGCCGTCTGATAAAGATGCAATACGGAGTAATGCAGGATAAGTTAAAAAATTTAGTAAAATCTAAATATTTTTTACATTTGTATACTTATCCTGCATTACGAAGTCTAAGTGCCCTCCCTTTCGCTACGCTACCTCCCCACGAAGTTTCAGATGTTATGTTTAAAGCAGTTATGTCTTTTTGTGTGACGTCATGACTTCCGGGTCACGTGCCGACTGTGAGAGGGCGCTGCCTCCTGGGCTGGTTGGGACAACTTTCTTCAGCAGCTGGATCTCACACAGTTAGTCTCTCTGTCAAACATAGCAGTAAATGCAATACGGAGTAATGCAGGATAAGTATACAAATGTAAAAAATATTTAGATTTTACTAATTTTGTGAAAACAACACCAATCTAGAAACGTATACAAAAGCAAGTCAAGCCAGCTCTAGCTAGGAAATCAGCATAGGGGAAATTATATATTTATTTTTAGAGTCGAGAAGGGTATTGTGTAATATAATATTTCATAGACTAAATGTTAGTATAGTAAAACATCTTTGCAGCTACATGTTATACACCATTTGAAAGGTCTAATCCTACTGTTTATACATATTTATGTTAATCACATTATTTAAATAAAGTATTTACAACTCAAGTAAGTTGTAAATAAAAACAAATGTAAGCTAACACATTCAAAAGTCCAGATTGAGGACCAAGGAAGGGTAAATTTGACAATTTTTGTAAAATATAAACAAACATAAAATCCACTTTCCAATTTCTTTTTTATTTTCATTGTTTACCTGATCGGAAAAGTATTTTATAAATAATTGTAAATAGTATCTGTCATCACCAATTTCTGGATACCTGCGGCTGTCAGTAACATGAAGAAATAGTCCGTTTTCGAAGCTTCGTATTACAAAGTTTATTTTTTTATCTACACAAACCTCGCAAAGTCTTTTCGTCGCTGTAAGTTTGTCACGTGCTTTCTTGCCGATATCTGCTACGAGGGTGGTGATTGGTCAAACTAGAGTACATGACCTAAGGCTGTCAATCAACTCCAGCAATGGCACGTGTGTAATCAAAGATTTTGACGAAAGGTTTTTGTTATTCTGAACGTTTCAAGCAGGAAACTCGCGATCTATATTAAAAACATGGAACTTCGTGGATGTATCGTGCTAGGTTAGGAGCTGTGACCTAGGTTTTTCAGGCATATTGGAAACATCGTATCAGAGCCGAGATGTCATTTTAATTTACATTATACGCGATCGCACGAAAAGATTGAAATAATAACTTAGCTGTAAGTTCGACAACTTATAGATATATTTTGGTTGATGTTATTTATTACTTTGTATACTAGATTTAAAGATTTGCTTGAAACGTCTTTGTTTTGCACTTTGACATGTTCGATGTGGACCCGTTGTCGAAGTGTGTGTCCGAGAATTTTATTTTCAATAACATCGCGGAAATAGTGAATCATTTGATCTTTCGATAAAAAAATGATAAATTGAAATGGAATACGTATTTCAGACATTGTGAAATGTGATTGATTTAATAAATGAATGATATGACAGGTAGGTTCATAAAAATATATAAAGGCTACCCTTTATTTTGACGTGACTACGACATGGCTGGATTACCGGCCTGCGGTGTCTGGGGACTCGAGGCTTCTTGGCTGGTGAACCGGCCTACGGTGTTGAAAGAGTATATTGGCTCTTCAAGCAAACTTTCTTGAAACCTATTTTTCTTTTGACAAAGTTTCGGTGATGCCATTTGGACCTTAGTCCTTGACATTGACAAAATACTCTTAACAAGGTCTGCGATTGGCTTACGTTTCTATTTCCATTTTGTAACCAATCAGCGATGCCATTACGGACATGACATGGAAGAGAAACGTCATCGGATACCTCTCAGTTTCCCGCGTTCCCGCCGAAATCTGGCTAGCACCGGAACCCAGCGAATATTGGATACATATTATCACGTGGGTTTTGGGAACGAGAGAAACACGAAACAAAACAACAATAAGTTATGCGTGAAGTGAACTTTTTTCAAAATGAAATAACGCGTAAGGGGGAAGCGTGAAGGTTGTTTTTTTTGGGGTCGTATTTTTTTTCAGTGCGTATTTTTGTATATGGGACGCCGTAAACGCAAACACTGTTCAGCCATTGCATTGTAGGCTCAAAGCATGGATGGACCAAGGGTCTAAGGCAGAGTTCTGTCCCTTAGTCATGTCAGGATCAGAATGCCTCCACTTGCCTTTATTATGATCTTGGTTTGTCAGCACCTCTCTCAGTCCTTTTCAATTTCACCAGAGTGGTAAAGGTTCCAACGAACAGAGCATCTGATTGGCTTAGGTTCCGGGAATTTTGGAAGTACTTCTTTTCGGTAGCTCCCATTCAATTTTTATTACTCATCTCAATACCAGACCTGACTTGGAACCAAACTGCGTTTCTGTTTTGCATAAGACATGTGACCTTCTAGGCCATTGAAAATGGCGGAAAACTTGGCATTCTGTCATAAAGCTTATTTTACAAGTAGGGGCGGTGGGGTCGCCGAGTGGGTAAAGCTTTTGCTCGTCACGCTGAAGAGTCGGGTTCAATTCCCCACATCAGTAGAATGTGTGAAGCCCATTTCTGGTATCCCCTGTCGTGATATTGCTGGAAACCATACCAGGCGTAAAACCATACTCACTAACTCACTCACTATTTTACATGCAAGGTTTTGACCGGCCCAGACAAGAGGTATTTCATACATATGTGGTTTTTATGACAGCAAGAGATATTTGATGCTTAAATGGTTGTTATGACAGCAAGAGGTATTTGATACTTAAATGGTTGTTATAACAGCAAGAGGTATTTGATGCTTATATGGTTGTTATGACAGCAAGAGGTATTTGATGCTTAAATGGTTGTTATAACAGCAAGAGGTATTTGATGCTTAAATGGTTGTTATAACAGCAAGAGGTATTTGATGCTTACATGGTTGTTATGGCAGCAATAGGTATTTGATGCTTAAATGGTTGTTATGACAGCAAGAGGTATTTGATGCTTACATGGTTGTTATAACAGCAAGAGGTATTTGATGCTTATATGGTTGTTATAACAGCAAGAGGTATTTGATGCTTATATGGTTGTTATAACAGCAAGAGGTATTTGATGCTTAAATGGTTGTTATAACAGCAAGAGGTATTTGATGCTTACATGGTTGTTATGGCAGCAAGAGGTATTTGATGCTTAAATGGTTGTTATGACAGCAAGAGGTATTTGATGCTTAAATGGTTGTTATAACAGCAAGAGGTATTTGATGCTTACATGGTTGTTATAACAGCAAGAGGTATTTGATGCTTATATGGTTGTTATAACAGCAAGAGGTATTTGATGCTTATATGGTTGTTATAACAGCAAGAGGTATTTGATGCTTACATGGTTGTTATAACAGCAAGAGGTATTTGATGCTTACATGGTTGTTATAACAGCAAGAGGTATTTGATGCTTATATGGTTGTTATAACAGCAAGAGGTATTTGATGCTTACATGGCTGTTATAACAGCAAGAGGTTTTTGATGCTTATATGGTTATAACAGCAAGAGGTATTTGATGCTTATATGGTTGTTATAACAGCAAGAGGTATTTGATGCTTACATGGTTGTTATAACAGCAAGAGGTATTTGATGCTTATATGGTTGTTATAACAGCAAGAGGTATTTGATGCTTATATGGTTGTTATAACAGCAAGAGGTATTTGATGCTAAAAATGGCTGTTATAACAGCAAGAGGTATTTGATGCTTATATGGTTGTTATAACAGCAAGAGGTATTTGATGCCTATATGGTTGTTATAACAGCAAGAGGTATTTGATGCTTATATGGTTGTTATAACAGCAATAGGTATTTGATGCTTATATGGTTGTTATAACAGCAAGAGGTATTTGATGCTTATATGGTTGTTATAACAGCAAGAGGTATTTGATGCTTATATGGTTGTTATAACAGCAAGAGGTATTTGATGCTTATATGGTTGTTATAACAGCAAGAGGTATTTGATGCTTACATGGTTGTTATAACAGCAAGAGGTATTTGATGCTTATATGGTTGTTATAACAGCAAGAGGTATTTGATGCCTATATGGTTGTTATAACAGCAAGAGGTATTTGATGCTTAAATGGTTGTTATAACAGCAAAGGTATTTGATGCTTACATGGTTGTTATAACAGCAAGAGTTATTTGATGCTTATATGGTTGTTATAACAGCAAAGGTATTTGATGCTTACATGGTTGTTATAACAGCAAGAGGTATTTGATGCTTATATGGTTGTTATAACAGCAAGAGGTATTTGATGCTTATATCGTTGTTATAACAGCAAGAGGTATTTGATGCTTATATGGTTGTTATAACAGCAAGAGGTATTTGATGCTTATATGGATGTTATAACAGCAAGAGGTACTTGATGCTTATATGGTTGTTATAACCGGACTAAAAGAGTTCCTTATATCCTTCAGTTTGTTATAAAGCTTTCATAGTTTTATGGTTGACCTGTGGAGGACATTTCCAAATTTGACACATCATTAGGAATTCCCTATTTTTGACTTGTACCATATTTTTTTTGGTGAACAATTGACTTGCCCTTGCATGTGTTTGTGACAGGTGACATCATCACTATTTGCATTGACATTGTCAGAATCATACCACGCTTTTCGTACAGATTTCTTATGATTACGGAAATGTTTGTCACTTTTGTTGAATGTTGCTGTAGGTATTTAGAATCTTGTTGTGTTTCCAGCTTCCTATTGTGTACGGTGCCATGAAGATCCTGGCCCAGGGCACAGGTCGTGCCCTAATGCAGGTATGTAATAGCTACATGTTCCAGGGCATATTAAGAGCAGAATGGGCCCCAGACGAGCATTTAGTGTCAAGGCTAAAATGTTTTACCAATGCCCTGGTGCATAACAATTTATGTGGTGCTGTGTCAGCACTAAGTAACAGTTAACAGTAAGACTTGTATGCATTGTTGACTTGCATCCAGGCTATGTGAAATGTTCTACCTTGCATGTGACTTCAATGCAGCCTAGACCGCCTCCGTGGTCCAGTGGTAGACCGTCCGCCCGGAGACAGTAGGTCAGGGGTTTGATCCCTGACAGTGTCATAACAACAATCGTTAATAGATGGTACTTGTTGTTATCCTGTCTGGCGCTCGACATGCATGCATGTTGCTATATAAGTGCAATAATCTTGGAGGCAACGTTAAACCAATTCTCACCCCACCTCACCCCACCTCACCTCACCTCACCTCACCTCACCTCACCTCACCATGTTTACTGCAGCTGACAACCACCGTGAATGTTGAGTATCCAATCCTGCTGAAACCAACACAGGACGGAATTAAGTTCTTTGACCTGATGATAGACTACATCCAGTTCTCGGGAAGGAACGCCTCTATCATGGAGATGTCTCCTTGTGTCAGGTGAGTTAACTAGCATTCCTCCGACACTCAGCTTGGTCTAACTGTATTCCTCCAACACTCAGCTTGGTCTAACTGTATTCCTCCAACACTCAGCTTGGTCTAACTGCATTCCTCCAACACTCAACTTGGTCTAACTGTAATCCTCCAACACTCAACTTGGTCTAACTGTATTCCTCCAACACTCAGCTTGGTCTAACTGTAATCCTCCAACACTCAACTTGGTCTAACTGTATTACTCCAACGCTCAACTTGGTCTAACTGTAATCCTCTGACACTCAGCTTGGTCTAACTGTATTCCTCTGACACTCAGCTTGGTGTAACTGTATTCCTCAGACACTCAGCTTGGTGTAACTGTATTGCCTCAACACTCAGCTTGGTCTAACTGCATTCCTCCAACACTCAGCTTGGTGTAACTGTATTCCTCTGACACTCAGCTTGGTGTAACTGTATTCCTCCGACACTCAGCTTGGTGTAACTGTAATCCTCCAACACTCAACTTGGTCTAACTGCAGTTACTTCCCTTTACATGCGCACTGCTTTACTGTGCATCTTGTCTTACGGTCATGGTGGCAATAGGAGTTTGATTGCTTGTTTATGTAGGGAGGCCCTGTCCAAGATCTATACACAACTGTTTATTTGGTAACATGCTTGTTTGAAAAAGGGAAAAAAAGAACCACACTGCCTGTCCACACTATATTTTTAAAAGTCATTGCCATGTTGTAATGAATGCCATGTGTCTGACAGCTGGGGGTACACAGTGGTGGTCTGTCACGTCATGTGTCCTCAACAATGACAATGTTGTAATGAATGCTATGTGTCTGACAGCTGGGAGTACACGGTGGTGGTCTGTCACGTCATGTGTCCTCAACACTGACAATGTTGTAATGAATGCCATGTGTCTGACAGCTGGGAGTACACGGTGGTGGTCTGCCACATCATGTGTCCTCAACACTGACAATGTTGTAATGAATGCTATGTGTCTGACAGCTGGGGGTACACGGTGGTGGTCTGCCACATCATGTGTCCTCAACAATGACAATGTTGTAATGAATGCCATGTCTCTGACAACTGGGAGTACATGGTGGTGGTCTGCCACATAATGTGTCCTCAACAATGACAATGTTGTAATGAATGCCATGTGTCTGACAGCTGGGAGTACATGGTGGTGGTCTGCCACATAATGTGTCCTCAACAATGACAATGTTGTAATGAATGCCATGTGTCTGACAACTGGGAGTACATGGTGGTGGTCTGCCACATAATGTGTCCTCAACACTGACAATGTTGTAATGAATGCCATGTGTCTGACAGCTGGGAGTACACGGTGGTGGTCTGGCACGTCATGTGTCCTCAACAATTACAATGTTGTAATGAATGCTATGTGTCTCACAGCTGGGAGTACACGGTGGTGGTCTGTCAAGTCGTGTGTCCTCAACAATTACAATGTTGTAATGAATGCCATGTGTCTGACAGCTGGGAGTACACGATGGTGGTCAGTCACGTCATGTGTCCCCAACAATGACAATGTTGTAATGAATGCTATGTCTCTGACAGCTGGGAGTACACGGTGGTGGTCAGTCACGTCATGTGTCCTCAACAATTACAATGTTGTAATGAATGCCATGTCTCTGACAGCTGGGAGTACACGGTGGTGGTCAGTCACGTCATGTGTCCTCAACAATTACAATGTTGTAATGAATGCCATGTGTCTGACAACTGGGAGTACACGGTGGTGGTCTGCCACGTCATGTGTCCTCAGCAATGACAATGTTGTAATGAATGCCCAGTGTCTGACAACTGGACGTTCACGGTGGTGGTCTGCCACGTCATGTGTCCTCAACACTGGCAAGGTTGTAATGAATGCTATGTGTCTCACAGCTGGGAGTACACGGTGGTGGTCTGCCACATCATGTGTCCTCAACAATGACAATGTTGTAATGACTGCCATGTGTCTGACAGCTGGGAGTACACGATGGTGGTGTGCCACGTCATGTGTCCCCAACAATGACTATGTTGTAATGAATGCCATGTGTCTGACAGCTGGGGGTACACGGTGGTGGTCTGCCACGTCATGTGTCCTCAACAATGACAATGTTGTAATGAATGCCATGTGTCTGACAGCTGGCCGTACACGGTGGTGGTCTGCCACGTCATGTGTCCTCAACAATGACAATGTTGTAATGGATGCTATGTGTCTGACAGCTGGGGGTACACGGTGGTGGTCTGCCACATCATGTGTCCTCAACAATGACAATGTTGTAATGAATGCCATGTGTCTGACAGCTGGGAGTACATGGTGGTAGTCTGCCACATAATGTGTCCTCAACAATGACAATGTTGTAATGAATGCCATGTGTCTGACAACTGGGAGTACATGGTGGTGGTCTGCCACATAATGTGTCCTCAACAATGACAATGTTGTAATGAATGCCATGTGTCTGACAGCTGGGAGTACACGGTGGTGGTCTGGCACGTCATGTGTCCTCAACAATGACAATGTTGTAATGAATGCTATGTGTCTCACAGCTGGGAGTACACGATGGTGGTCTGTCACGTCGTGTGTCCTCAACAATTACAATGTTGTAATGAATGCTATGTGTCTGACAGCTGGGAGTACATGGTGGTGGTCTGCCACATCATGTGTCCTCAACAATGACAATGTTGTAATGAATGCCATGTCTCTGACAACTGGACGTTCACGGTGGTGGTCTGCCACGTCATGTGTCCTCAACACTGGCAAGGTTGTAATGAATGCTATGTGTCTCACAGCTGGGAGTACACGGTGGTGGTCTGCCACATCATGTGTCCTCAACAATGACAATGTTGTAATGACTGCCATGTGTCTGACAGCTGGGAGTACACGATGGTGGTGTGCCACGTCATGTGTCCCCAACAATGACTATGTTGTAATGAATGCCATGTGTCTGACAGCTGGGGGTACACGGTGGTGGTCTGCCACGTCATGTGTCCTCAACAATGACAATGTTGTAATGAATGCTATGTGTCTGACAGCTGGCCGTACACGGTGGTGGTCTGCCACGTCATGTGTCCTCAACAATGACAATGTTGTAATGAATGCTATGTGTCTGACAGCTGGGGGTACACGGTGGTGGTCTGCCACGTCATGTGTCCTCAACAATGACAATGTTGTAATGAATGCTATGTGTCTGACAGCTGGGAGTACACGGTGGTGGTCTGCCACGTCATGTGTCCTCAACAATGACAATGTTGTAATGAATGCCATGTGTCTGACAGCTGGGAGTACATGGTGGTGGTCTGCCACATCATGTGTCCTCAACACTGACAATGTTGTAATGAATGCTATGTGTCTCACAGCTGGGAGTACATGGTGGTGGTCTGTCACGTCATGTGTCCTCAACAATGACAATGTTGTAATGAATGCCATGTGTCTGACAGCTGGGAGTACACGGTGGTGGTCTGTCACGTCATGTGTCCTCAACACTGACAATGTTGTAATGAATGCCATGTGTCTGACAGCTGGGAGTACACAGAGAAGAGTCTCACCAGTGGTCTCGCTGTCCTGGAAATCGACATCCCCACTGGCTACATCATCATGAACAACACTCTACGCGAATACGTTCAATCCGGCATTGTGCCCAACCTGCGCCGAGCTGAGTTTTACAGCAGGAAAATCGTCTTCTACTTTGAATATGTAAGTATCAATGTTGACTAGTTTTTGAAATGTAATGAGACCAATTGTCATTTTTAATGTTGAAAGTCCTCATCCTGATTATTCCTTATAGCCTTGTGGTTAAAGCCTTCGCTTGCCCGGGTTTGATTCCCCACATGGCTACAATGTGTGAAGCCCATTTCTGGTGATATTGCTGGAATATTGCTAAAAGCGGCGTAAATCCATACTCACTCACTCACTTGTAGGGTTCACGTTGCACAGTGACTTGTCATAACTGTTTTCTGTTTCAGCTTGACCAGAGCAAGACCTGCGTATACTTCCGAGCAGATCGATGGTACCCAGTGGCCAACGCCACCATCCAACACCGCATGAGGGTGTACGACTACTATGAACCAGGTGAGGAGAAGGTTTGGGTATCTCACATCATTAACCAGTAGTTCCCTACTTTATTATTGTGTAGACTGGCAACAGAAGCTTTGGGCTATCCACGCTGGAACATTCCTTCTGGGGGTGCATGACTGCTTGACAGCCTCTCTTGCCTGTAACCATGGTAACCCAAGAGAGTGGCAAAATGTAGGATCAAACTTATTTCACATGGTATTGTTTGTTTGTTTATTTGTTGTTTAACACTGCATTCAGCAATATTCCAGCTATATGACGGCGGTCTGTAAATAATCAAGTCTGGACCAGACAATCCAGTGATTTATATCATGAGCATCGATCCACGCAATTGGGATACGATGACATTCATCAACCAGCCTGACCACCTGATCCCATTAGTCGCCTCTTATGACAGTCGCAGCTTACGGCAAGCATGCGTTTGCTGAAGACCCATTCTACCCCGGATCTTCACTGGTCTCACATAGTATTGATCTAACCCACCCACGCACACAATAGCTATTTTAACTGAGGTCAAAGGTGGCCCAGTCTAAAGCATGCAATACATGCAGAGTTGCATCCCTTGGGCATTCCAGGATCCTCATGGGTTTGAACCTTGAATTGCCATGATTATTTTCCAGGTTTGTCAGCACCATACATACTGCATGGCTTGGGCTTTCCTCCCACATAAGGGGGACTGTGGACTAGCCTTGCGGGTAAAGCGGTGGCTCGTCACGCCGAAGACCCGGGTTCGATTCCCCCAATGGGTGAATGTGTGAAGCCCATTTTCCGGTGTCCCCCACCGTGATATTACTGGAATATTGCTAAAAGCGGCGGCATACTCACTCACTCACTCACTCACTCCTCCCACATCAGGCCGACATACTTTGATAAAACTAAAGTTGAACTCACTGTCTTACATGTGCACCAAGATTGAACAAATGATTGTGTTGATATACAACGAGCAAGTCTGAGAAATATAAGTTGTGACGTCATATTTGTTCCAAATGTTGTCAATTAGATTGTTGATGTGAATGATTTGTTTATTTTCAGGAATGCACAATACATCGATGTATACAACTTACAACATCTTCACCATGAACATCTGTTTTGTGTGCGGTTCCTACCAATGCCCGTACTGTCCCTCTTTCAACGTCGCTGCCGTCCTCCAAGCAAGCATCTCCATGACGACCGTCATGCTTGGATTCCTGATAAGACGATACTTGTTGCGGTGATAAAACAACAATTGAGTTGTAGCAGTATCTAAATGCTTGTTGAAGAATCTGTTAATAATAGTATTAGGAGAATCTATGTCATTAGACAGTTGTTGAGGAAATATTGGATACTTACCGAAAGGTAGTCTAGGCTTAACAAAATAAAAGAATTGGTTCTCAGCATTGGGGGGAAGAATTTTAATTTTGTTTGCAAATGTATGTGAGCTTGATGAAATAAAATGCTCATGAAAAGTAAACTAAATAGGTATTGATTGTAGAGATGCCTTAATCTCCCATGAAAGAACAAGACACTCTTGTCCAGTATTTCTTCAGATTCTCATTGAGGGAAAGTGAGTTACTATTTTGGTGTCTTGGGATAGGGAAGGGTGGGTTCAGTGAGGTGTTGTGTTCTGGGAGAATCTACCCATGAAAACAAACCACCTCCATCCTCATGTAGTTCTTCTTGCCGCCAGCTCTCTCTTAGACAACTATAACAATAATTATCAAGGAAATGTCGTGCTTAATAAAAAACCAACATGTATAATTTCAACATGATTTTCATGATGTAGATATAGAATCATATCATGTGTGTATATAGATAATGATTCATGTTCATTGTATGATATTCATGTGTACATTGCATAAGAATTGTAAACATCTAGCAGAAGGTGCTGATTGGCTGGAATGAAGATTTATGTAACATGCGCATTGACCCGACCTGAGGTTGTTTTCATTCTGGCCTTGACATTTTCATCATCAATGGCTTTTTTAACTAGTAAGTGTAAGTTTTAATAGTTTCGAAAGAATGTTCAATTAAATGGTCAGTATGTACATTTCGTGTTAAAAGTCCTCCCCTGAGTGATAAAACCTTTTGAAAATCTTATTTTAATAATTTGATATTGTTTTTAAAACATGTTGAACGGCTCGTATAATTTGATGCAAGATTAATCTCCCAAATATATTACATGTACTCAAAAAGAGTGACGGATCCCCTGATTCTTTCATATTACTGTAGTTAATCTGTCATAGCATGACAAATCAACTTTAGTCATGTGAAAGAATCGGGAAATCCTTGACCTTGATGCTTCTGGTCAATTGTTCAGGCAATAATTGAAACTAACGTTCATCATCAAAGAAAAGTATTTAAATGAAATGTGAAAATTCTAAGGAGTCATTTTACACCTTTATATGTTACTATAGATTACTGTGTACATATGTCTATTGTGTAAAATTTCCTAACCCCAAATGGAACTCTATGTCGATATACAGGAAGCTGTAACCTTATTGATAATGGTAGAAGCTGTAGCATCCTTAGTAGATTACAAATACTGCAAGTGTGATGTCACTGAAGAAAGTTACAGTAGATTGCCTGAATTGTAAGAGAATAATAAAGGTACTTCACATCAAGATGATGATCGTTTAGTGAAATCTCTCTTTGTCTTGACAAACTTGCAGAGAAATTTTATATTCAGATCTTTTTGTCCTCATGAAATCATTTGATCCATATAATGGTTGTACATAGAAACAAACTATTTTTTACCTGTATCAGCAAATAACTTTTTATTAAAAATCGATTTAAAAAAAATGTATGTTATTTTGTTCCTTTGGATATTTTATTTATGAATAGCTCCTGTTCAGAGAACACCCACAGCATGTTCTATCATAGTACTGGAGATACTCAGTTTGAGGTTGATAGAACACCCACAGCAAGCACCTGTCATAGTCGGAGATACCCAGTGTGACTTTGATAGAACTCCCACAGCAAGCACCAGTCATAGTCGGAGATACCCAGTGTGACTTTGATAGAACTCCCACAGCAAGCACCAGTTATAGTCGGAGATACCCAGTGTGACTTTGATAGAACACCCACGGCAAGCACCTGTCATAGTCGGAGATACCCAGTGTGAATGTTGATAGAACACCCACAGCAAGCACCTGTCATAGTTGGAGATACTCAGTTTTAGGTTGATAGAACACCCACAGCAAGCACCAGTCATAGATGGAGATACCCAGTGTGAGGTTGATAGAACACCCACAGCATGTACTGTCATAGTCTGAAATGCTCATTGTGAGGTTGATAGAACACCCACAGCAAGCACCTGTCATAGTTGGAAATGCTAAGTGTGAGGTTGATAGAACACCCAGAACATGCACCTGTCATAGTCGGAGATACCCATTGTGATTTTGATAGAACACCATCAGCAAGCACCTGTCATAGTCGGAGATACCCAGTGTGACTTTGATAGAACACAAACAACATGCACCTATCATAGTTGGAAATGCTAAGTGTGAGTTTGATAGTACACCCACAGCAAGCACCTGTCATAGTCGGAGATACTCAGTTTGAGGTTGATAGAACACCCACAGCAAGCATCTGTCATAGTTGGAAATGCTGAGTGTGTGTATACTTACATATAGGGGGTATATATTTATATTTACTGACCAATAACGAGTTCCTGTGACACCAACACACACACACCAACGCATACACACACCAACGCGCACACGCACGTCGCTATATAAGGGCAATAATCTCGAACGCGACATAACCCCCCCCATCACACTCACCATGCGTTACTGTGCCTTCAACAAAGTCAACCATTCTGACCACCCGATCCCGTTAGTCGCCTCTTACGACAAGCATAGTCGCCTTTTACAGCAAGCATGGGATGCTGAATACCTACAGTGAGATGGGAGATTCAGATGAAAATCTTGACTTTCTTTGAGACTTTTTTGTTACAGAAAGGAATGGGCGGAAGGGAAAATATAATGGTTAAGGGACAGACCAACTTAAAGTTTGCGCTGTTAACGGTGTGTGTTTATATATGTTGTTGAAGCTTCATTCAATGCCCGTACCAAACATTGATTAAAAGAGGCGTCAATAAAATATGTTTTAAAAAAAAGCACCGTTCACTGTCTTTGCAGTCGACTGAGATTGGCCTTATTAAACCTGAATCATATTTTGCTTGAACACCCAACCCCCAACCCCGAGCCCATTTTATGTAACATTTTCTCATGGTCCCCCCAAATTCAAGTAATATTTCCGATGACCCCCTCCTATAACACATGAAGAGGCCTTAAATAATGTACGAATTTATATTTTTCTATTTGCACAAACAGTACTGTGTCATATGATGATGATGTTCGTTGTTTAACGCCGCATTCAGCAATATTCCAGCTATTTAACGGCGGTCTGTAAATAATCGAGTCTGGATCAGACAATCCAGTGATTGACATCATGAACACCGAGCCACGTAATTGGTATACGATAATATGTATCAACCAAGTCAGCGAGTCTGACCACCCGATCTCGCTCAACTTCAGCAAAGGGATCACCCGTGACCGTGATCGCAGTTTAAATGACCTATCAGTTGATGACATTGTTTCTGAGCTCAGAGATCAAGGCGTTATTGAAGCAAAACGTTTCACGTTCAAGAAAGATGGGAAAATTTCGCCTTCCAACACTTACCTCTTGACGTTTGATATACCTAAACTGCCAGAAAGTTTAAAGGTAGTTTGCTTTGCTATGAGGATTGATTTGTTCATACCACGTCCTATCCGCTGCTTCAAATGCCAAAAGTTTGGTCATGGTCAAATTTCATGCAGAAATCATGTTGTGTGTTATCGCTGTGAAGATCGAGACCATGAAGACTCTGCTTGTGATGCTACCATCAAATGTTCTAACTGCCAGGAAGCTCATATGGCATCTTACCCTGAATGCCCTGTTTTCAAATTTGAGTCAGCAGTGCAGCGGGTCAAGTCAGAACAAAATCTTTGCTACGTTGATGCACGGAAGATAGTCAGTGGCAATTCTCCTGCAGGACCAACAAAAAACACTTATGCATTAGCTCTCAAACCTACAAAAAGTTCTGTTATGTGTCAAACAGACTGTACATGGGTCAAGGCAGACATTCCTGCATATCTTTCTTTGAACACAGATCAATCTAACAATGCATCTTCAGTTTCTGTTCAAACATTCCCTACAAATGTCCAAACACAGCAACAAACAGAAATATCACCAATAGAAGTTATACCCAAACCAGAAGTAGCACGAGCAGAAGTAGTACGCCCTTTAATTAAACAAAGGGTTCAAAACAAACCAGAAACGGACAGATGTCCAAAAGGACTACAGGATCATGTCCAATTTTCAATCGCTTTGGTCTCCTAGAGTGAGTGAGTGAGTGAGTGAGTGAGTATGGTTTTACGCCGCTTTTAGCAATATTCCAGCAATATCACGGCGGGGGACACCAGAAATGGGCTTCACACATTGTACCCATGTCGGGAATCGAACCCGGGTCTTCGGCGTGACGAGCCAACGCTTTAACCACTAGGCTACCCGACCGCCCTGGTCTCCTAGAAGACATGGAAGAGACCCCTGAACCAGGTAAAAGTGGCCTTATACATGGCCACTCTTCAAAAAAGAAAGAGGGTAGAGGTAGATCACCTGTTCACCCCCATGAATCATAATATTATACAATGGAACTGTCGAGGAATTAGAGCTAATTTTGATGAAGTCAAACTTTTAGCTAAAGACTATAACCCCGTGGCATTTAACCTCCAGGAAACATTTTTTAAGAGATGATCAACTATTTGCTTTACGTCTGTATGAATACTATTGTTCGTTTGCAAGGGTGACGAATGGTAAGGCCTCTGGTGGCACAAGTATACTAGTGAAATAGGGAACACTTCATAGCCCTATTACACTAAGTACTTCCTTACAGGCTGTTGCAGTGCGTATAACATTGCATATTACAATAACTCTGTGTTCTTCATATATTCCTCCTTCATGTGCTCCTCAACTCAGGGAATTGGATAATCTTATTGATCAACTTCCCAAACCATTTTTGATTATGGGAGACTTGAATGGTCATAATCCCTTATGGGGCTCATCCCATCATAATGATAAAGGAACAGTACTAGAAGAGTTACTAGATAAGCATAGTCTATGCCTTCTTAATGATGGGAGTAACACCTACCTCCATCCGGGCAACTGGCAGGTACTCAGCTTTGGATTTGTCCATTTCTGACCCATCACTTTTTAATGAATTTTCATGGTCAGTTCATGGTGATTTGTGCGGCAGTGATCACTTTCCTACCGTGCTTAAAGCTATATCTCCCTTTGAGGATAGTTCCATTTCCAAATGGTAATTTTCCAAAGCTGATTGGCTATCTTTTAGCTCTTTGTGTAGCACTCAATTGAAAGTTGATCATTTCATAAATAATCAGGACCAAATGAAACTGTTTTCTGAAACCTTATTAAACATTACCACTGAAACCATCTCTAAGACCTCGACAACTCCACGTATTAATACACCGTGGTATAATGATGATTGCAAAAACAGCTAGGAAAAAAAGGAAAAAGGCTGAAAGAGTTTTCAATAAACATCCGACTCAAGATAACTTAAACTACTTAAGGATATCAGGAGCAAAGGCTCGTAGAACAATTAAAAACAATAAACGTAGCAGCTGGAGACATTTTGTTTCCAAACCCGTACTCCCCTCAATAAGGTCTGGAATATGGTCGGAAGTATAAAAGGTAAAGGGTCCTCTAGCAGTTTTCAACACTTGAAAACTGATACTGATACACTAACATCCCAAAAGGACATAGCTAAGAAGCTGGCAGAGACAATTAGTAAAAATTCATCATCTACCAACTATGACCCCAAATTTCAAATCCATCAAAATCAGCAGATCCGATAATTCTGAAGATTATAATGAATTTTTTTCCTCATGTGAGCTGCAAGAGGCTCAACATAAAGCTCACGATACAGCATCTGGGCCAGATGATATCCATTATCAATTATTGAAACATCTACCCGAGTCACCTCTTTTAACCCTCTTGTACATTTTCAATAATATTTGGGAATCTGGTAATTTTCCTTCTTCTTGGCATGAGGCTACTATCATTTCTGTGCCAAAACCAGGGAAGAATCACACAAATCCTTCTAATTACCGTCCAATAGCTTTAACAAGTTGCATCTGTAAAACCATGGAACGAATGATCAA